TGTTTCCACCTGTTAGCTATTGTGAATGCTGCAGTGAACATGAGAGGAGCTATGACTTCAAGATCCTGTTTCCAATTCTTTTGGGTAAATTCTTGGAAGTGGGATTGCTGGATCATATGGTCATTCCATTTTTAATCTTTTTTTTTTAATTTGATACTGTTTTTTATTTTAATCTATTTTCCTTAATCTGATATCATTTTCCATAGTGGTGACACCACTTTACCTTCCCACCAACAGTATACATGAGCTCCAATTTCTCTACAAGAGCCCACCATGTACATGTAATACTATATGACGAAAGAAATATGTAAGGCATGGACCTTGCTTTTAAGAAGTTTCTATTCCTTCCTCCTGAAATTCTCTTCCTTTCTATCTTCATTTGACTAATTTTTTCATGCATTTTCAGCTTCAGTTTTATGTTGTCAACAAAGTATTTCCTCACTCCACAGACCAGGTTTGCTCTCCTATGAGAAGATGCCATTGCACTCTATTCTTTACTGTAACACGTAGTGCAGATGCAGTTTACAGAATTAGGTGAGAGCAGGGAAAGTGGTTTTTTTCTTTGGTTTGATCTACTTAGCTTACAACAATTTATGGCACAGAGTAACTACAATAAATACCTAAAATTATATTGTGAAATGTATCACACATTTTTAAAAAGATCACATAAAACATTGTTTCATTAAAATAATAAAGGTTTGCAACTCTTTATTTAAGGAATAGAGCATTACTAGCCCCCTAAGAACCTTCTGTATACTCCTTCCTCCTGCACGTCCCTCCTGATTTTATTAATCATTCTTTTGCTTCCAGGGAAGCATCTAGTTGAGTTTGGAAGAGCTGACTAGCAAGCACAAACCCAATTGTTTAAGAAAGCTACAGTATCACTACTATTAAAAGAAGACTCCCAGAAGAAGAGCTGAACAGTCTCTGGGCTGCAGTATGCTTCTGTATGCTTGAAAGGTTTTGAGACTCCTTTGGGAGAGCTAGTGGGCGAGGTCAAAAGTGAATTGCAAGAGCTCACCACATTCAGGGATCCTTGCAAGGTTGTAGGGTGATGAAATATTAGATATCCAACATGTGGAGTGGACTGACTGGCATCTAAACTTACCATTCAGCTGTCCTTCCTTCAAACCTCAGGAGTAGGTCAGAGCAGAAGACTTCTGTGAGGTGAAAATGCCCTCATATGATCTAGGAGATAGGACAGAAACTCCATCAGTGTACCCGCATACCAAAAAGAACCTGGCTGGGCTTTTAATCTTTCCTTAGGTGAAAAATGATACTAAGACTGCAAAGATCTTTCAGATGACAGGCTTCAGCATGTCTGTCTGCTGAACTGCACTAATCCAGGGTTTATTAGACATTTGCTGCACCCTCAGCCAAGGGTCTCTTTGGAAACCTCCTTCCTGGACATTCCCTTTGCCCCTCGTCTGCGCGGGATCTCGTTTCCTAACCTCTTTTTCCTTTTCTTGGTTTACTCTCTCATTTTGCTGGAGGCTATTTTCTAATATCTTGTTGAGAAAAGTGGCAGAGGAAATAAGTATATTTAAACTTACAGTGTCTAAAAATATCTTTATTCTGCTCTTACACTTATTTGACAATTTAGGAATAGAATTCTAGGTTGGAGCTCTTTTTTCTTGAGAATTTTGAAAACACTCGTCTATTGTCCTTTGGTTTGCAACATTGCTGTTGAGAGTTCCAAAGCCATTCTGATTGTTAATCCTTTATATGTGACCCTTTATCCCTTATCTTGTTAATGATTTTCTCCCATCTTTCTTCTCTGTTCGTTTTGGCATGAGGAATAATGGGAGGGTAGAGAAGGCTTCTAAATGCCCACTTGAGAGGGCAGCAGCCTCAGGAAGAGCAATAGCAAACACTTGTGCTTTTTGAGGCAGCGGTTTCTAGATCCACATTATCTGGATGCTTAAAAAAAACTACTTTCCATTGAGGAAAATTTCTTCACAGCTCTTCTCTGATATATACAGAAGTTGTTTCTGATCTGCTTGGTTTCCCTTCATGTGACTATATGAATATGTATATATATGTATATAGATAGATACATATATATATAAATACACATAGACGAGAGAGAACTATCTCAATTATAACAGAAAAGTTGTACTTACAGGACAAAAAAACTTTTTTCCTGAACCACTTAAGAGTAATTTGCTAACATGATGTTCCATCATCCCCAAATACTTCAGTATATATTTCCTCCAAACAATATTCTTCTACATAGCTCAGTAAAATCATCAAAATCAAGAAATTAACATTGGTATATTTTATTCTCAGGTCATTCAGGTTTTGCTACTTGTCCCAACAAAGTCCTTAATAGCAAATGACCCAGTTCAGAATCATGCTTTCTACTTCATCCTGGAACAGCTCCACAGTTACTCCTTCACTTTTCATGACTCTCATATTTTCGAAGACTGTAATCCTGTTAATTTTTAGTATGTCCTTCAGTTTGCATTGGTCTGCATTCGTCTCATGATTAGAGTCAAGTTACGCATCTTGTACAAGAATATCTCAGAACTGTGCTAGGTTCTCCTCGTATCCTATGAGGTGGGTCATGATTTCTCATCCCATTATTGATGATGTTAACTTGGATCATTTGATTAAGTCTCTTGTTGACTTTTCCACTGTAAAGTCACCCTTTTTCCATTCAAACTTACAATTTTTTCATTTATTTATGTATAGGAATATGGACTTACAGGTTTCTGTATTTATTCAGTGGATGGTAATCTGATACCACCATACTTTACTTTGATGCTCAGTTCATCCCCAATAAGACCAGGAGTAGAATCTTCAAGTTAGCTCCTTTGTTCTTTTAATGTGTCCCCTCATTGTTTAAGGACTTCCTTCCTTTCTGGTCTGAAAAGACGGTCCATACGCCTTGTCCTATCTGTGCCCCTGCTTTGGAGTCAAACCATTTCTCCAAACTCCCTGGTTCCTTTTCGTTGAGAATATATCAGAAACCAGTATTGCTGTGTTGCTCCCAAGCCCTTTGCATGGACAGAACTAATGAGTTCACATGTGTAATACACATATATACACAAATTTACACCTGTTTTTATGTAAATATATGGTGAAAACCATGAATTCACATCAGTATTTTTAAAATTTCCATCCAGTACCACAAGATTCATTTTGTATTCATATCTCCTTTCACATGTGCACATACTTCCTCTGAAAGGTTATATAGTAAGAAATCTGACTCGTTATTCTCAGTGTATTTTCTTATTTGATCAGTCCCTTATATGTGCCAGTCTCCTGGCCCTAAGCCCCTTCTCGTGAATGCTCTCCTTAAACCTCTTGGGCTTCAGCCCCTCATGGCAGGTCACTACCCTGTGTGAACACCCCCTCCGCCCCCCTTGGACTCACTACGTCCTTGTGCCAGGAGTTCCTTCAGCAGGGTATTCTCCTTGCCTTGCTTTGGCTCCATTAGAGTGTATCAGGATGCCACTGCCCAGAACCACCCTCGCCCCCAGCGGGAGTTCTTCCTGTCCTTTTTGGGCTCCTACACCATGTACTAGGCTGCCCCGCTGCAAGGACACCTCCTCACCTAATTTGGGTTCCAACTGCCCAGCTGCAGGTGTGCTAAGCGGTTGCCCTCCTCATCTTATCTGGGCTCCCAGCACCTCGTTCTCAGTCATCCCTCCACCTCCGTTGCCCTCCTCACCTTGCTCAGGTTCTGACACCTCACTCCAGGTTGCCCTCTTCATCCTGCACAGAGTCTGACGTCAGGCCACCACCTGCTGTGGGCACCCTCCTTGCTCCAGCTGGACTCTGGCATCCCACTCTGAGCTCCCTGCCCTGTAGAGATGCCCACCTGGCTTTGTCTATACTTATACATCTCCATTTTCTTTGACTGTTTCTCAAATCATACTTTTTTCTGGAGTATAGAGTAGTAGGACAAGAGATGGGGTGTTGGAATGCCTGACACCAACAACCTGGAGGTAGACCAAAATTTACAGGTAAGGAGCACAGCCTCCACAAACTGATCTCACTTTAGACAACAGCTACAACTTCGGTTGTAGCTCTCACTTCTGATCAGATGACTACAAATTTGGGTGCCTCTTACCCCTTCAGGTTCTGTAATTTACTAGAATATCTCACAGAACTCCAGAAAATGCTCTACTACTATTAGAGTTTCACTATAGCAAAGGCATGCTAACCAGAGCCAGCCAAAAGAAGGCATACATAGCGTGAGGTCTGGGAGGGCCTCAGATTTGTGAAGCTCCTGTTGTTCTCTTCCCAAGGAGTCAGGATGCCTTAACCCTCCCAGAAAATCTTCATATGACCATATATAGAGTATTGCCATTCAGGCCTTGGGTCCAGAGTTGTTACTGGTGCCTTACTGCATATGCGTGATGGATTGAATCAGCAGTCTGTGAGTCTGCTGCTATTTTGGTCCTTCAGCCCCCTTTCCCTCCCCAACATGGCGTTGGGCTCAAAGCCCAACTCTCATCACATGGTTGGCCTTACTGGCGTGAACAGCCCCCATCACGGAACATCTCCTTACCATAAATTATCTGGGCCCGTCATTAATAACAGAAGTACTTCTGTACTAGGAAATTCTGAGAATTTAGGAGCCACCTCTCAGGAGCTGGGGACAGAAAATAACCAAATTCTTTATTCCAAGGGTTTAACGGGTACCTCCCAGCAATCAGGCAGAAGCCATAGTAAGTTCGTTACTCTGCAAATAAGGAGAACTAGATTGCTTTCTTCTGTGGTGTACAGACCAATTGTTCACTCTTAATCTACCTTGAGATTTCATCGTTTACCTTCTCAGATTAAGATAAATTGTACAGTGATTTTATAATGGTTATAGCGTACCTATCAATTTTTTATCATAAATTAATAAACTTGCAGAAATGTTCTAATACTGCTATAAAAAATAATAGTGGTATAGGAATAATATAATAAAACCTGGTTTTTCAGAGTAAGAGTATTATATTATATTTTGCTTTTTATCTGTCAATTATATATCTTATCTGTTGTAGGTATGACTTTAGCTTTTCCAGCTTCAGTTCATGATTCTCTGATTTGCAGTAAAACATTTCAAATTCTATATAAAAATGAAGAGGTTGTTTTAAATGATGTCATGATCTTCAAAGTTAAAATGTTGCTGGATGAGAAAAAGGTAAACATCTCTTCATATATATTTAGATAAATATTTTTTGTAAAGCCTCAAGACTTATTTCCAACCTTCTATAAATATTCAAAAAGTATCTCATACTGTAATTTCTCTTCAGATTGAAGAAGCCCTTGAGGAAATGAATTTTGTGTTATCCTTGGATCTACACTTCACAGATGGAGATTTTTCGTAAGTAGGCTAATCAGACAATTTAAAATCTTGAGTTACTCGTGACTGTTATCTTTTATTATTAGATTCCCCATTTTCTTCTTAGAATCCAGCCCATCCCCTTCTTGTTTATTCTGAACTACTTCTGTCTCCTGGGGGAGTGTCATGATGGTTAGTCCTGTTCCTTTATGCCCATGCTGATTGCATGAGCTCCAGGCAGCAAAATCAGACAATGAAACAATTTCCTTAACTCAAGAAATTGCACTTTTGATACAATACCACTGCCATGAGACATTTAAATATAACTGAGCTTTCTTCCACTGCATCGCTAGCTAATCTTTCTTTGTGGCACGAGTGATGCCATCTTTAAGTAGGACTCTTTAGATGTTCAGAGAGTTATCAAGACTGATGACTCTTATACTTTGATACTGATTCTAGTTCATTAATTTCTAGAGCCCTTAAGGAAGCTTTAGGACTGCTTACCCTGAACTTGTCCACAGATATTTTAGGGATTTACTGCTTATATTCATTTAAAACAAGAATCAGAGATCCATTTAACAATTTTATTTTTGTAGTTTCTTTTCTTTTCCGTTTCAGATGTCCTTGACGAAATACTTGTAAACTGAGTATAAATTCAAACTGCATGTAGGATAAATAACTAAGCAGTCATATTGCTGAAGGTCTGCTTGATATGGACATGTAGGAGTAAGAATTTTTTACATGGTAGCTACTGCTTCTCTGTAATACTTGTTTATTACAAAGAATTCTTTAAGGGATTTGTTTTTAAATCAGGTCACAATTCTATAAGAGGAAAGCTAAAATGAGTAAGTAGTCCATTAAATATAGGTAGTTAATGTTTGTATAGGTTAAAAATACATATGTACATATATATTTGGACATCATTTTCATGATATTGTTTCAGTTTTTTCTATGTGTAAATCTAATGATAAACTAAATATTTATAATAAAATATCCATTGCTTGCTTTTTTAGGAGCAGCATTTAATAAAATTTTATACAATAAAAATAATTTTAAATATCCTTTGGGATTTATTGTGATAGGATTTGACTTCTTATACTGTACCCTTATAATAAACAGTGTTTCCTATGGAGTAAAGATTAGTATAAATGAGAGTAATTATAAATTATCACAAAAGTCTCATTTTTTTTTTATTAAGGTATGATTTATATACACTCTTAGGAAGGTTTCACAAGAAAAACAATATGGTTACTACATTCACCCATATTATTGAGTTCCCCCCACACCCCATTGCAGTCATTGTCCATCAGTGTAGTAAGATGTCACAGACTCACTATTTGTCTTCTCTGTGCTACACTGTCTTCTCCATGACTGCCACCCACACCATGTGAACTAATCATAATACCCCTCAATTCCCTTCTCCCTCCCTCCCCATCCCCACTCCTTCACCCCTTCCCTTTGGTAACCGCTAGTCCCTTCTTGGAGTCTGTGAGTCTGCTGCTGTTTTGGTCCTTCAGTTATGGTTTGTTGTTATACTCCACAAATGAGGGAAATTATTTGGTATTTGTCTTTCTCTGCCTGGCTTATTTCACTGAGCACAATACCTTCTAGCTCCATCCATGTTGTTGTAACTGGTAGGATTTGTTTCTTTCTTATGGCTGAATAGTATTCCATTGGGTATATGTACCACATCTTTGTTATCCATTCGTCTGTGATGGACACTTAGGTTGCTTCCTTATCTTGGCTATTGTAAATAGTGCTGCAGTAAACATAGGGGTGCATATGTCTTTTTGAATCTGAGAACTTGTATTCTTAGGGTAAATTCCTAGGAGTGGAATTCCCAGGTCAAATGGTATTTCTATTTTTAGTTTTTTGAGGAACCTCTATATTGCTTTCCACAATGGTTGAGCTAGTTTACGTTCCCACCAGCAGTGTAGGAGGGTTCCTCCCCTTTCTCCGCATCCTTGCCAGCATTTGTTGTTCCTAGTCTTTTCCATGTTGACCATCCTAACTAGTGTGAAGTCATGTCTAATTGTGGTTTTAATTTGCTTTTCCCTGATAATTAGCAATGTGGAGTATCTTTTCATGTGCCTGTTGGCCATTTGAATTTCTTCTTTGGAGAATTGTCTGTTCGTATCCTTCACCCATTTTTTAATTGGGTTATTTACTTTTTGGGTGTTGAGGCATATGAGTTCTTTATATATTTTGGATGTTAACTCCTTGTGGGATATGTCATTTACAAATATTTTCTCCACTACTATAGGAAGCCTTTTTGTTTTGCTGTACAGAAACTTTTTAGCATTATGTAGTCCCATTTGTTCATTTTTTATTTTGTTTCCCTTGCCCAAGGAGATGCGTTCAGGAAAAAGTTGCTCATGTTTATATTCAAGAGGTTTTTGCCTATGTTTTCTTCTAAGAGTTTTATGCTTTCATGACTTACTTTCAGGTATTTGATCCATTTCGAGTTTATTTTTGTGTATGGGGTTAGACAATAATCCAGTTTCATTCTGTTGCATGAATGTTTTGCCAACACCAGTTGTTGAAGAGGCTGGCATTTCTCTGTTGTATATCCATGGCTCCTTTACAGTGTATTAATTGATCATATATGCTTGGGTTTATATCTGGGCTCTGTAGTGTGTTCCATTGGTCTATGGGTCTGTTCTTGTGCCAGTACCAAATTGTCTTGATTACTGTGGCTTTGTAGTAGAGTTTGAAGTCTGGGAGCATAATCACCCCCATTTTATTCTTCCTTCTCAGGATTGCGTTGGCTATTCAGGGTCTTTTGTGGTTCCATATGAATTTTAGAACTACTTGTTCTAGTTCATTGAAGAATGATGTTGGTATTTTGATAGGGATTGCAGTGAAGCTGTAGATTGCTTTAGGCAGAATGGCCATTTTGACAATATTAATTCTTCCTATCCATTAGCACAGGATGTATTTCCACTTATTGATATCTTCCTTAATTTCTCTTATGAGTATCTTGTAGTTTTCAGGGTACAGGTCTTTCACTTCCTTGGTTAGGTTTATTCCTAAGTATTTTTATTCTTTTTGATGCAGTTGTGAATGGAATTGTTTTCCTGGTTTCTCTTTCTGCTAGTTCAGGAGTGTAGCAGATTTGTATATTAATTTTGTATCCTGCAACTTTGCTGAATTCAGTTATTAGATCTAGTAGTTTTGGAGTAGATTTTTTAGGGCTTTTTATGTACAATATTATGTCATCTGCAAACAGTTAACAGTTTTGACTTCTTCCTTGCCAATCTGGATGCCTTTTATTTCTTTGTGTTGTCTGATTGCCGTGGCTAGGACCTCCGGAACTATGTTGAATAAAAGGGAGAGTGGGCATCCTTGTCTTCTTTCCGATCTTAAAGGAAAAGCTTTCAGCTTCTCGCTGTTAAGTATGATGTTGACTGTGGGTTTGTCATATGGCCTTTATTATGTTGAGGTACTTGCCCTCCTTACCCATTTTGTTGAGAGTTTTTATCATGAATGGATGTTTAGTTGAATGCTTTTTCAGCATCTATGGAGATGATCATGTGGTTTTTGTCCTCTTTGTTTATGTGGTGGATGATGTTGATGGATTTTCAAATGTTGTACCATCCTTGCATCCCTGAGATGAATCCTACTTGATCATGGTGTATGATCCTCTTGATGTATTTTTGAATTTGGTTTGCTAATATTTTGTTGAGTATTTTTGCATCTATGTTCATCAGGGATATTGGTCTGTAATTTTCTTTTTTGGAGGTGTCTTTGCCTGGTTTTCCTATTAGAGTGATGCTGGCCTCATAGAATGAATTTGGAAGAAGAATTATTCCTTCCTCTTCTACTTTTTGGAAATCTTTAAGGAGGATGGGTATTAGATCTTCACTAAATGTTTGATAAAATTCAGTGGTGAAGCCATCTGGTCCATGGGTTTTGTTCTTAGGTAGTTTTTTGATTACCAATTCAATTTTGTTGCTAGTAATTGGTCTCTTTAGATTTTCTGTTTCTTCCTGGGTCAGCCTTGGAAGATTGTATTTTTCTAGAAAGTTGTCCATTTCTTCTAGGTTATCCTGTTTGTTAGTATAAATTTTCATAGTAGTCTCTGGTAATTCTTTGTATTTCTGTGGTGTCCATAGTGATTTTTCCTTTCTCATCTCTGATTTTCTTGATAAGTCTGCCTAAGGGTTTATCTGTTTTGTTTATTTTCTCAAAGAACCAGCTCCTGCTTTCATAGATTGTTTCTATTGTTTTATTCTTTCTGCTCTAATCTTTATTATGTCCCTCCTTCTACTGACTTTGGGCCTCATTTGTTCTTTTTCTAGTTTTGTTAATTGTGGGTTTAGACTTTTCATCTGGGTTTGTTCTTTCCTGAGGTAGGCCTGTACTGCAATATACTTCCCTCTTTGCACAGCCTTTGCTGCATCCCACAGATTTTGTAGTGTTGAATTATTGTTATCATTTGTCTCCATGTATTGCTTGATCTCCCTTTTTATTTGGTCATTGATCCATTGATTATTTAGGAGCATGTTGTTAAGCCTCGATGTGTTTGTGGGCTTTGTCATTTTCTTTGTGTAATTTATTTCTCGTTTCATACCTTTGGTCTGAGAAACTGGTTGGTATAATTTCAGTCTTTTTGAGTTTACTGGGACTCTTTTTGTAGCCTACTGTATGATCTATTCTTGAAAATGTTCCATGTGCACTTGAGAAGAATGTGTGTCCTGCTGCTTTTGGGTGGAGTGTTCTGTAGATGTCTGTTAGGTCCAACTGCTCTAATGTGTTGTTCAGTGCCTTTGTCTCCTTACTTATTTTCTGTCTAGTTGATCTGGCCTTTGGAGTGAGTGGTGTGTTGAAGTCTCCTAGAAATAATGCATTGCATTCTATTTCCCTTTTTAATTCTGTTGGTATATTTGTTTCACATATGTCGGTACTCCTGTGTTGGGTGCATAGATATTTATAATGGTTATATCCTCTTTTTGGACTGACCTCTTTATCATTATGTAATATCCTTCTTTGTGTTTTGTTACTTTCTTTGTTTTGAAGTCTCTTGTGTCTATCCAAGTACTGCAACACCAGTTTTTTCTCCCTATTAGTTGCATGAAATATCTTTTTCCATCCCTTCATTTTTAGTCTGTGTATGTCTTTGGAAATGAGTCTCTTGTAGGCAGCATATAGGTGTGTCTTGTTTTTTTATCCATTCAGTGACTATGTCTTTTGATTGATGCATTCCAACCACTTACATTTAGGGTGCTTATCGATAGGTATGTACTTATTGTCATTGCAGGCTTTAGATTCGTGGTTACAAAAGGTTCAAGGGTAACCTCCTTACTATATATCTGTCTAATTTAACTCACTATGCTATTAGAAACACAATCGAAAGGTTCTTTCTTTTTTTCCTCCTTTTTCTCCCTCCTCCATTCTTTATATTTTAGGTATCATATTCTGTACTTTGTCTATCCTTTGACTGACTTTGCAGTGTTGATTTGATTTTGCATCTGCTTAGTAATTAATTGTTTTCCTTTCTTTACTGTGGTTTTATTTCCTCTGGTGACAGCTATTTAGTCTTAGAAACACTTCCATCTATAGCAGTCCCTCCAAAATACACTGTAGAGATGGTTTGTGGGAGGTTAATACTCTCAGCTTTTCCTTATCTGGAAATTGTTTAATTCCTCCTTGAAATTTAAATGATAATCTTGCTGGGTAGAGTGTTCTTGGGTCAAGGCCCTTCTGTTTCATTGCATTAAATATATCATGCCATTCTCTTCTGGCCTGTAAGGTTTCTGTTGAGAAGTCTGATGATAGCCTGATGGGTTTCCTTTGTATGTGATATTTTTTCTCTTTCTGGCTGCTTTTAATAGTCTGTCCTTATCCTTGGTCTTTGCCATTTTAATTGTTATATGTCTTGGTGTTGTCTTCCTTGGGTCCCTTATGTTGTGAGATCTGTGCATGTCCATGGCCTGAAAGACTATCTCCTTCCCCACATTGTGGAAGTTTTCAGCAATGACCTCCTCAAAGGTACTTTCCATCCCTTTTTCTCCCTCCTATTCTGGTACCCCTACAATGCAAACATTGTTCCGTTTGGATTGGTCACACAGTTCTCTCAATAGTCTTTCACTCCTAGAGATCCTTTTTTCTCTCTCTGCCTCAGCTTCTTTGTTTTCCTGTTCTCTAATTTCTGTTCTATTTACTGTCTCTTCTACTACATCTAAACTGCTTTTAAATCCTTCCATTGTATGTTTCATTTAAGATACTGTGTTCCTTACTGATCGAATCTCAGTCCTGAATTCTACCCTGAATTCTTGAATATTTTTCTATACCTCCATGAGCATGTTTATGGTTTTTTTTTTTATCTCTTTCAGGAAGATTGATGAGTTCAGTTTCATTTGGCTCTTTTTCTGGTGTTTATAGGATTTGGGTTTGAACCAGGTTCCTTTAATGTTTCATCTTTGTATGTGGTGCCCTCTAATGCCCAGAAGCTCTACTCTCTGGAGCTGCTCAGCCCCTGGAGCGATGTCGGGGGTCACAGGGGAGCAGCGTTGGTGCCTGGGGATGGGAAAGAGCTGTTTCCTGCTTCCTGGCTGCTGTGCCTGACTCCACTGCCAAAACCAGTGGGTCAATTGCACAGGGGTAAGCCTCTATGCATTGCGTTTGTCACTGGAGTAGGCGGGGCCACCCTCTGGCTGGCCGGATGCCAGGGCAGGAGCTGCCAGTTTGCTAGCCAGTGCCAGTCAGCCGGCTGGGAGGAAGGCACAGCAGGATGCTTACCATGGTTGGGGGCCTCAGACCTGCATAGCCAGCCATGGGGATTCAGCACCTGAAGCTCCTGTAAGTTCCCAGCCTGCTAGACAGAGTGCACCTGGACAATTTGTCCACCTGTTCTTTCTCCTGAGCAGCAAGCTCTATGCAGTCCTTGTCCCTTTAGCAGCCTTCTTGCTGTTAGGAAGTCTCTCAGACTGCCCATCTTTCTTTTGTCCCAGAGCAGCTGGATGTGGATCCCTGTTTTCCACAGCAGCTGCAATCTCAATCTCGCCAAGTATTCTGTCTTTCTTAGTTTTCCAACCCCACTAATCTCCAGAGCACCATGTAATGTAGGTTTGTGCCCCCAGAGCAGATTTCCAGAGCTGGGTATTCAGCAGTCCTAGTTTTTCACCCTCTCCCTGCTCCGTTTCTCTTCCTCCCACTAGTGAGTTGGGGTGGGGGAAGGACTTGCGTCCCACCTGATCATGGCTTTGGTATGTTAGCCTGTTCTGTGAGGTCTGTTCTTTTCTCCAGGTGTATGCAGTCTGGTGCAGCTTTCTTTCCTGTTGCTCTTTTAGGATTAGTTCTATTAACTATATTTTCATATTATATGTGGAGGCCTTTGTCTCACCTCTCATGCCACCATCTTTAATTCTCCACAAAAGCCTCATTTTTTAGGGACATTAATAAAAAAAATAGTCCATGTCATGGACCAGTACATAACTATAGTTAAGGTCTGGTTATTCTCGTTAGATTTCCTAATACTGTTAATGCCATGTGGTGCCTTAAAGATTATTCTCATTCTGAATTTCAAAATAGTAATTAAGTAACTAAATGTTGTGATAGTTTAAACTACTCTACAAAATATGCCATACTTACATGTAAACATGTGCTTCTTACAGGACAGATGATCTGAACGCCTTGCAACTAATAAGTAGCCGAACATTGAAGCTGCACCTTAGCCTCCATAGGGGCCTTCATCATCATGTTAATGTTATGTTTGATTATTTCCACCTTTCTGTTGTATCTGTCACAGTCCATGCATCATTGGTTGCACTACATCAGCCACTAATAAGGTAAATTTAACCAGTACCGTTCCTCATTAATGTAATGTCTTTCATTTTTATAGTGAAACATATACTTTGATAAAGATAACTGAAATAGTACATTTCAAAATTCAGAATTCTTTAATAAACCCTTCCATTTTATACTTATAATAAAATAATAAAATTGAAGCACATGGGAACATTAAATTCATAGGTTTTTTATTACAGAAATATGGAGCAATCTTTGTCAAATGAACTGACCAAGAAAAATAATGCAATCTGGAAATAACCATACAGCATTATTTAGTCTATACCTGTGTTTTTATGCAATGCTATGCTATATTTATTAATTCTCTGGAAAAGTATATTCATTTTTTTCTTCATTTTTTTTTGTTTGTCTCTGGATGAGATGGGCTAGGTTTATCTTAAATCTATGCTGTATAGTGATTCTTGTTTTCTAAGTCATTAACCAGTTATAATGATCTTTACTAATAAGCCTTTTAAGCCTGTATCATGTACCATTACATACAGCCTTAAGGTATATAATATTCTGGATCATAATAAGTGCATTGGCGTAGTTATTGTTTCTGCCTACTTTCATGGGGAGACAGATTGTCTTTCATTAATGTATGAATATAATCCAAGTTCTTCGGTTTTTAAAGTAAAACATCATCCTTGTGGTATGTATGGGCAACTGGTAGACTCTTTTAACATCAGTAGCTTATATGAGAAGACCTCAAGTTGATTTGACTTCTGAACTGTCTGTTTTACAATTTGTGACACAAATCTGATTCCAAAAACTGATATTAGGGATAATGCTTAAAGAGTTATGATGCTCAACTGATTTATCAGAAAACTAAGTAGGCAGTTTTGTAGACTTACTCTCAGAGTTTGCACAGTTTGACATACTGTCCAATTAGTAACAGCCTCCTGTGGCTCACCTTTGCATTGCTTTAAAAACTCCCAAGAGAGACCCTTTTCCATGGTCCCTGTGTATCCCATGGTCACAGGCTCTAGAAGAAGTCTGTTTCCTCCGATGCTCTGCTTCCTTGTCTGTAATAAGATGTACACCTGGTGGTTCCATCTTTGTCATCTGTTAGGCATTTGAGAGCTTGTTCTCAGTTGCTATAACTTCTGTAAAGTGGGAAGTGTTCATTTTATTACATACGATTATGAACTTCAAAAAGTTTTACAATGTTGATTGAATTCATTAATATGTAATAAAAACTGAATGAAACTTGTTTGATAAGAAAGTGGTATTAAAATATAACTTGCAAAATAAATAGTATACAGTATTACTTTTATGTGAATTACATGTTAGGTTGTAATACTAAAAGTTTATCTGTTATGAAGTATATTCCTGTAGTCTTCTGATTATTTTTGTAATTCCAATAAAAATCCCTAAGTGTACTATTTCACCCATTCTTTTATAACACTGGCTTGGTTTCTCTTCTGAAAAATGTACAAGCAATTCATCGAAGTTAGCTCAGGTTATTAATGTTGCTTTATAAGGCCCTGACTCAGTAGAGCAGTGATATTCCCACCACTAATCTTAGTGCTTCCTCTTGCAATGCAGCAGTTTTGGCCACAGACTAGTAGGAGAAAGGGGCAGCTCATGTCCTAGAGACTGTTTGCTGGAAGGAGTAGACATTTTTGGCTTAGAATCAGAAGCCAAGAGGATTAACTGTTGGCTCTGGTTAGTGACTGAAAAGAAAATAAGGTGTGCCTGCCAAAGCGAAGGTTGCTGCCCCTTACCCAGCGGCCGTGGGCCCTGACTCTGCCCGCCTTGTGGTAGGACTTTGCTCTGAGAGAAGCAGCACCTTGCCCTGCCTTGCATTGCCTGTAGCTCAAATGTTGGAGGTGGGAAGCAAGGAAAGGGTAAGGGAGAGCTTTTTGCTGGTGGCTTGCTGGTAAAGGCGTCCTGTTAAAGGTTAACAGTCCTTACTATTTATGCTTTGGCAAGTTTTTCTTGAAGTTTATTTTAGGTGAATTTTTTTTATCCTTTAAACAAAATGAAAAAAAATTAAGTTTATAATGTTATCGTTTTAAATGTTATTTTCATTTAAAACAGTTTCTGTGATTAACCCAACTATGGACATCAAAAAAGTTATTTAAAGTAAATAGAGTTAGGATTTTTTTGCTCTGCCTGTTTTCTACATAACCTGTCTTTGACCCTTTTTTTAAGTACAACTTTTTTGACTCAATTCTGAAAGACACTTCATAGCAGGTGGAATTTACCATTGACTTGTGACTCCCTTCTTTGATTGGACATAGATATTTTTTTTTGCAAAACAGATTGATTTTGCATATAAAGGCTGCTCTCTGCTTCTGGCAAAATTGATCTACTTTCCTGTCTTTCCTTCAACAAATTGCCAAACAGCCCAAGTGCTTTGGCCTACTTATAATTAGCAGGTACTTAATCTCAAATTGTATATGATTTTTAAACACTCAAACAGAATATACTTCTTATTCTTATTCTGTAGAATTAATGGTATATTACATGTGATGTTAATACTAAGAGCAGAAGCTCATATGTCATTGAGATAATGCCTTGAAGTACTTATAAAGATTATCTAATAGAGTTCATGGCTTTTTAGTAGAGAGAGAAAGAAAACACCTTGTTTTTGAGATATAGTGGTAACAAATAGATTTAATAATTTTTTCTTTTTCTGCAGTAAAGTGGAAACTCTTTACTTCTATAAATAGCATCCATGTTTGAATACATGTTAACCTAATAAACTTCATGACAGATCAGTATTTCCAAATTAAACCTTGACCCTCATTTGTCTTTTAGCTGCTTTGGATCCCACCCTATTTTATCTTAAGAATCTTTTGAGACTTCCTGAAGCCCAATCATAGAGAAGTATATCTCAAGCATCTTGTCTTAGTTTTTTAATATTCAGTGCCTTTTTATAATAATTCAAATTATTACGGGAATAATTATAAAATTATATAGGAATACTTTAGCAATTATAACCTTGAAAAACGCTTGCTCTTTGTTCTATTCCTTTAAGATTTACTTTTGTAAACGTTTAACTTAACATGCAAACAGACTCTGCTCTGACAGTAGTAACGTCATACTTATTCCTCCAGCTTTCCTCGCCCTGTGAAGACTACTTGGTTAAACAGAAATGCACCAGCGCAAAACAAAGATTCTTTGATTCCTACTCTTGAAAGTGTGGTCTTCGGTGTTAACTACACAAAACAGTTATCGCCTGATGTAAGAACTGCAATGTTTATAAATCCTTTCTTCCTTCTTACTTCAAATGAAATGTTTTTTAACTGTTTACCTGTGAATGTGATATTTGTTTTATTGATTATTTGAACTCAGCAATTTACAGATTAATTAAATATGATCTTAACAAATTGAATAGTGCTAGTTTATGAAATGAACCAGATTGAAGACTTCGCCAAATTTAATGTAATGGATAGAGATCTGACAGCCAGTGCTTTTCTTAACCGATTACTCTCCCTTTTGCTTCCTTAGCAGAACTGTAAGAATCATTGTGAGGGAGCCTTTAAAGAGCAATTGTCAGAGTTAACAATTGCAGTAGTACAAGTGCAGCTGTTAATCCTCTAAAAGGAAAGAGGGCCTATGCTATAAAAGCAGAGGGTCCCTCAGATCAAATGTGCTTTGAATCTCAAAATGTCAAATATCATAATTTAATCACATTTTAGAAACCTGTAATTGAAATTACTAGAGTTGTGTTTCATGTCTTTAAATTACTTGTGTGAGCAAGGGCAACTCCCTGAAATACTGCTGAATTTCTTATTAAATGCTTAGGGTTTTTTTCCTGTATTTTTCTAAGTTTCAAGTGTAATTTAAAATTTTTGGTTACTGACAGTCTCTATCCCAAATCTGTTCTTTTTTTTAGGGTTGCAGCTTCATCATTGCAGACTCCTTCCTGCATCATGCCTACCATTTTCATTATACACTTTGTGCCACTTTGCTGCTCGCCTTCAGGGGATTGCACAGCTACTTCATTACGGTAACAGAAGAGATTCCCTCTTGTCAGAAACTAGAACTGGGTATGTTAAAAGTAGCCAGACTTATCCTATATAGTTCAAGTCATTCTCTTCGTTCTCATATTGCTAGTTGCCAGCTTTGCCTTAGTTTTCCTATACTAACACTAAAATGAATATGTGCTTTTCTTTTACTTCTCAATTCCATCTTTTTCAACCCTTAATAATTACTTTCTGCAGTTTAAAAATGTTTTTTATGATATTGAGAAATAACTACTTGGTGCTAAGTTTCAAAAGAGTGTTTGATAAAGAGATTTTAGAAAAGAAGTGTGAAGATACTACACCTCTTAAAATATAACCAGAAACATACTAGAAAGCAAATGCAATTATCTGCAGAATCATGGGAAGATAAATTAAGTCCATACTTACAAATATTTAACAGTCTAAGCAGATCATAGGTACTTAGGACATTTTTAAACACATTTGGTTTTAAGTGATCTTAGATCATATTTCTTTTATTTCACTTCAGAGAGAATAATATTACTCAGTTTTAACATTTCAAAAATTATGTAAGTCATTAAAAAATTAATCTTCAGTTTTAGTCAACAGTAATATCTGCATATGTGTGGTAGGACACAATAAAAAATCATATTGCCTTGATTTTGTATACCATCTGTAGTTTGCAAAATGCTTTTACATATATTTTTTCACAGAAGATAAATTGGGATTAGCAAAAATAAGTTTTTATTCAGACTTCTTATGATAATTTTATAACTTTGATTTTCAAACATCAGCTAATAGCTCATCATAAAAAGCACATTTTAATTATCTCCCAAATAAATTATTTTTATCATTGTATATTTGAATGAATCAAGAACTACTTTTAAAATTTTCCTTGAGTTAGTCTTCTTTGTTTATTTCTTTGTTCCTCAAGGATCTGAGTCTTTAACAGTATTGATGCACCTTCAAAATAGTCGCTGTTACTGAACACGATTCTTAGGTTTGAGATTAATTAGCTGACTTTTATAATGGCTTGTTTTAAGATATAAGAGAATTGTAAGAAAGTGTAATGATTTGTACCTCACTTAAATTCAGCTATAAGAAAATGCTGCATTATTGTGCCACTGCCTATCAGCAACTACTACAGTGGATTAATTCTGTTATTCAGTCAGTCCAGTTCACTTGACTAGACTAGAAACAGATGTCATTCAATTGACTGTTTAGAATGCATGATTCAAGGATCCCAGTCTGTGCACAAAGATACACAAGTAATGGGAAAACGTGTTGTTTTGCCTCATGTCTATGCTCTTCCCCAAGATAAAAGTGGTCATGTGGAAACCTTTTGCTTAACTATTGTCTGAAGTTTTCTGTTTCCTTGCTGTTAAGAAGGACTTAGAATCCCTTCTATTTCCCTTAAAAATTCCTATAGGAGACTACTGCCTCATATGTAACTTTTAAAAAATGTTCTTTTTTGAAAATGGAAAAACTGTTCATAGAGTAGTACTAAGTCAGGCTATCACTTATCCTCAATTAATGGAAAAATTATGCTCCATATCGTTTTTAATTTAGTTATTTGAAACTCGCACACATTTTCTTAGAATAATTATATTATAAATTTTGGTTAATTTAGATTCAGTGAACAGGTCACAAACTATTAAACCACAGTATTAATGAAGGATAATACCACATGCCTAAAAAATAGTGTTATAAAAATTAGTGGTGTGAAAGTTAGAAGCCGTGTGTAATAGTATTTCTAGGAGAAAATTTGTTAATGTTTCAGTGTTGAATGTTACAGTAGAATTCATGGAGGCATTAACTTGTGGTGCTTAAGAATGCATGTTCACAGTCATTTCTGTTACTTCTTAGCTTTGGGACAATCTATACAAAATGGTTTCCATTCAGAAGATAGGGAGATTGCAGGGAAACCAATGTGGTACATGAGTCAGGAAGGAAAGATGAACTTTAGGAGTAATACTTCTTAATGATGTCATTTCCTTGGGCTTTATATGAGCACCCACTATGTGACGTGCTTGAGGGAACAATGGGGTGTATGTCTTTAAAGAGCTTTCACGTCCCCTTTTCCCTTAATAAGTAATGAGTTCAGCATTGGAATGAACAAGGGAGATTTACCCGGGGAGAAGGCCGTCTTGTGGTTCTAATGCAGAGAGCCATTTATGAGATGGGCCTGTAATGCCTGCATAGGGAAGATATCCATTGTATATAATTTTCAGATAGATCTAGCATGTAATATTTGCTAATGAAAAATACATTAACCACATTTTAACTTAGAAAAAATTCTCTCTAAAAGGAATTAATGCTTATTGGTAAAATTTATAACTAGTAATTAAAGAAGGATCTCTTCAAAGACTTATTTTAAATAACTAAACAGTATTAGCACTTTGTTAATAATTTCACTTCAGCATGGTAATTCAATTCACTTATTTTTAAGGTGTTTAATTTTCTCTCAGGTAAGGATGACTTTTATAGATTTGAATGGGTTTATAGATATAATATAGTCTTTAACAGTATTGATTGTGCATCAATACTATTAAAGGATGGGTTTATAAATATAATATAGAAAATATCATTAGTTAAAAGCCCTTATTTTTTAATTTCAGAAGACATTTACTAAATGTATGTCAACTTTATTCCAAATTATTTGCTTAAAATATTGTATCAAAATTCTAAAGCAAAAAATAAAAAATAATTATAATTATTGCTATAATTATAGCAATATAATAAAATTATTAGTGCCTTACACATAGTATTTACTCAAAATATATTTGTTGAATGAATTAATGGAATAACACAGTACAGGTTTTGACATTTTGTTGTTACTTAGCTTATAGCAGTTTCTTGGAGATTTTTTTAAATCAAGACTCTTCTTTAATACATATTTATTGGTAATATTTTGTATTATTAAAACTTTTTTATTTTATTTTATTTTTATTGTGGATTTTAGTTTATTCTTGAATGCATCTCCTCGGAGAACATCTAAAAATAATAACTATTCATAATAGAACTATTGCACTTTCTGAATTGTTAACATTATTCATTTTTATTCTAGCAAATTGTAGACACTAGGTAATATTCCCACAAAACATTGTTGACTAAACACCCATTATGTTCACCAGCTTTAATAAGTGGATATAAAGTAGTTCTTGATTAGAGGATGTATTATCCTTCTCCTGTTTAGCACTCTTCTTGAGTTTTTAAATAAGTATATATTTAAAAGTCTTTACCTCTACCATGCTTTGATAAATGTATCTAAACTCTGTTCCCTCTTTTAAAATAATACCTTGAATTCCTTTCTACTTGGGCCTTTTTCTTTTCTCCTAGATGAATGATGTACATTTTTTGATGACATATAGTTAAATACTGGTTTGGTGCAAGGAGCTCTTACTGAAAATGGGAGTCACAAGTTCTGAAATGTAGACTTTGGCAAGTCACACAACCTTTCCAAGCCCCTGCTATCCATACTTGTGAAAACGGGGTTGACCTAGCTGACCTGCAAGATCCTTGCCAGCTCTAAAATTCTGAGTCCAAGAATTTAAAACAGAAAAATAATACTGGCATGTTGAATGGCATATACATTTAAATAGAAAAGAGAACAAAGTAATATAAACTCGAATGTACATCATTTGTAATTCTAAGAAGCTAAATCACTAACTGAAAGATTCTGCTTTAGTGTTCTAATCTAACTTCACTATTAGATTAATACTAAGTCTACTAATAACAAGTTGGAAAATTCTAATAAATTTTATTGTAAAAGGAATATAGTAACTAGCACTGTGTGCAATCCTTGTAACTAGCCAAGGCCAACATGCAGGCCCTTTCTGAGCGCCTTCTCAGAAGAAAGCAGCCGCGAACCCAGAGAGACACCTGCCTAGGTACGTCAACAAATAGGCTAAGTGCATAATCCCTTTGGATTAGTATAAAATTTTGCTTTAAATTAGTGTCAAATTTCATAAATATATATTGATTAACATAATATGTTCCTACCACCCTTAATTAAGAACCTACTTTTAGAATCGATTTGGTTTTTAGATGAGCTTTGGTTAATTTCTTAATTAATTAAAGTTTTTATTTAAAACTGGAAATGTTAAATGGAAAGATTTCTTTGGCTTTTTTCCGTATTCTTTTTAGAGTTCCTACAAAGAGCACTTTTTGGAAACCATGTTTATTGCCAGAACTTGTTGGTTTAATGATATTGCCTTAAATTTGTTAAAAAACAGTTTATCTTTATTTAGTTAGTGCCAATGATAATCAAATGTGGTTTAAAAACTGAAGCTGCTTTCATGCATTACAGAAGAAGAGAAATATCTTCAGTATCTGGTTTTGTTTTTTCAGTCAATTTGCCTTTTTTTATTCTAAATTTAAAAAGCAAAATAATTTCAAATTATTACTGTCCAGATGTTACATATTTCAAAGGCAATACTCTGATATTATTTATGGATATATTTTCCCTATCTATCCCAGACTTTTGTTACTGAATAGCAGTAGTGCTTAATTTACTTTCTTTCTTTAAGTATATTGAAAGATTTTGTTTTGTGTGATGGTATTGTAATACCATCAACAATTATATTCTTCAAAAGTTACAAAAAGCTCTAGAAATGAAAAAATAAATAAAAACACAATGTTTCCCAGTTTTCAGAAGTATGAACAAAAGGAAATTAAGGAGGCCAAATCTTTTTCAACATTTCTCAGATGAAAACTAGATCAGAAATACTTAGGCTGGATCCCTTTTCACTAAAACTGTAAAGAGAGAAACTGATATTCTTATCAGGAAGGGAAAAAGAAAGGTTGAACATTTATTGTCATGATTTTGGAATATAATTTTATATTCATATAAAGTAACAAAGAATTCATAATAGGAAATTGTGATCATTCATGACATGTTTTAGTTGTAGCAATATAGACACACTTTTAATTTAAACTATTGTATTGCCAGCCTATCAGTTTATATGTGAGCATTCTAGATGACTTTACAGAATGCTGCATAACATAACAAGGCCCCTAGAAAGAAGGGCCTGATTTTTCGCTGGATGGGAAAAGACTTGAAAATGAAAGCATAATAAAGTCAGTTAAATTAGCTGTTATTGAGCTATCTTTTATCCTTAATATCTAGCATTGTATTGGCATTTTCTGAGCTAAGTTACAAATATATGCTGAATGAATGAATATATGAATGGATGGATGGATTTAGAAAAGAAATTTAAAATACTTCTAGCTCTGACCGAGTAACCGCAGTTTCGCTAACCTGTATCAGAGAAAGAAGAGTACTAGTATATGAAGGTATATGTATAAGCAAGTTGGTGGTGGTAGTGTTCTTGGTGGCAAAACACTGAAATCAGAGATAAATGCCTGTCATTTGGCAAAAAGTAGAACCTGGAAGACATAATGAGGCACCCACACCAAGGAGTATTATGTAGCCATTTCAGAAAATGCTTTAGGGCTACATACCAGATTTCCATGGAGTACTGCTAAGAGAAAAAAGCAAATTGCAGCCAAGTGTGTAAAATACAATCCCACTTTTGTAAAACAGTGACTCCAAAACTCACCTATATATGAAAAATATGCAAGGAGACGTTCTGGACTATAACCTTGCATAAGCAAAAGGATCCAAGTAAAAAAAAAAAGGAATTTATATAAGATAATGATCATTCTTATACATTGCTATAAAATTGTATAAAAATATATATGTCAACTGAAAAAGAAAAAGTAATTAAGGGTAGAGTCTTAAACTCATTTAAGAATTCTAAATGATCTTGAAATTATTTCAACTCAGAGATTTTGAAGTTTTGCTTTTAAAACATTCTTTAAAATGTTGCTCATTGAAGTATAAACTTCAGTGGCTTTCACTAGCCCATAACACAAAGTGTACCAGTATATGCATTAGGCTTTTATATGTAAAGATTTAAAAAATGTATCAAAACTCAAAACTTTAAAAAGCTTATTTTCATTTTTAAAAATTCATAGTTAGGATATGTAACCTACTAAGACTAATTTTACTGATTTCCTTCTTTCAATCCACATGGAAGTTATAATTTTAATACGGGGTCTGCTGCTGATTTCTTAATTTTGGAAGTCTTGATATTAGAAGCCATTCATTTATCTGACAGTGAAATGATTTTTGAAATCTTAGGAAATTTCTTCAGTTATGAATAGGTTGACTGAATTTGTCAAATTTGACCCGATTTTATCTATTTCTTGGTCCATAATAGTATCTAAATTTAATGTTACAAAATTTGTGGTTTATAAAATACATATGTGTCATACTGTATTTTAGTTAACAACAGAGTATTTGTTGTTCACATCATAGCTTGGTAGTGTTTACCATATAATTGTAACTAATTATTTTATGAAATTTAAGTATTTATCATTCTTTTTATCAAGTAGTAAACCGTCTACCTTATGAGATAGTGAGCTGATGAATGAATTCAGGGATGTCATAGAATGTATTCTTGCCTTTGTGTGAGAATAATCAGTTAAACTCTTTCAGCAGTAAAATTATGGAATTTTCTGTGATCACAAATTATGCTATTACTTTTTTTTAGGACAATTCATTTTATTTTGATTTCTGATTTAAAAATATATCTAGCCATGGTATTTTGAGTCTTAATGAAACTCCTTCCCTGCAAAAAATAATAATTCTTTCTATTCTATTAATTTCTGTATTCCCTTGTTAATATTACCATTCTAGTTATAAAGTATTCTGTAAAATTTATCAATGGTTATAGAATACACTAAATAAATTAGGATTGTATGGAAAAATTTGCCTCAGTTTTGGACTATCTTACAGAAAACTGAATTTATTAAACTAAATTAGAAACCTTTTGTTCAAAAAGTTTTTCTCAATCATTTTCATTAATTAGCTTATACTTTATGTATATTTTGTTTGTAAAAATTGATTTGACTCAAATTTTAGGAATAGCTTTTATAAAAAGCAAAATATACACATATAACAAAATACTAAGCTTTACTGGAATTTGTAAGAAATGCACTAAAACATAATTACATATTTTGTCTTTTCTGTGAGACAGTTGTACAAGTTACTTTAGGTATATACATATTCAGTATTTCCTTGACAGTGTTAGCTTCTCATGAGAACGGAAACACTCTGTTTAATAATCAGAACATAGAATTTAATAATAATTCATCACATTACCTAAATGATTAATGAGTTTGAGAATATATTACATTGAAATTTAATTCATTTAATGTGGCCCAGATATTTCTCAACATTCTAGTTTTTTAAAGGTAATTTATTTATGTAATTTCAACATTGTTTTCATATCTAACATTGAAATATTTTCTTTAATTACTCTTTACTCCTTTCAGAGGAAATGGATATAGAAGCTCGACTTGTTGAACTGTGTGAAGAAGTTAAGGTACTTTTTGGACTTTTGATTCCTTTTATCAAGTTATTTGGATTCTGCTTCCTGTTCTAAATATTTTGTCTAAGAAAATTTAATAATTATTTATTCTTCCTCAAATGCAAAGATAAAGTGGTTGATCATTGTAGAACCATAACTTAGTTAATCAGAGACATTTAAATTTAATTTCAGCATGAAATTAACTAATCTTTAAAATGTACATTATTCTACATATAAATGAAATAGCAAAGACAATAAACTGATTAAAAGTGTGTATTTTCTTCTGTTCTTTCAAAGAATTTCTGGACATTTTTAAACATCATTTAAACTTAACATTTTTGTAAAATGATATTTTTTTAGAATTGAAAATCTGTTTTATTTCAACAGATAATTTGTGTCTCAGACCTTTTTTCTCCCAGTTCATTCTTGTAATTAAACTGAATAGTTTTTTCTTTTTCCTTTTTTTTCTTTGCCATGGAACTAAATGTTTTGACTATTTTAAGAAAATCACTATGTATTTCACTCTCAGCCACAATAATGGAAGAAATCAGAAACATGAATCAAACAAAAATACATATTTGGCTTTAGGATATATTTCTGTATATAAATTTGAATGAGGACTAAACCCCCTTTGGGAAAGATATCTATCTTATCCTTGTAAAATTATACATATGAAGGACACACAAGTAATTTTGTATGCCATCCCAGAGGCTTTCCCCATGGTTCAATTAAGATAAGTATTTTCTTTAAAAAAAAATCACTAATGTCATTGTAATAGTTGCCCAAAAGAACATTAGACACTTAGAAATAATAAGATGTGTGTGATGAATATGAAAATACCTATACAGTGTGTCACTGAGATATTTAAGAAAATTTGAATGACTAAACATATGATTTTCCTAGTCAATGAAAAATACCAGTTTATCTCAAGTTAATGACATGAATGCATTCATATCAAAATCCAATTGGAAATTCAAAAATTTTGCTCAGTTTAAAGATCACTTTCAGAAAGATAAGAATGATGAACAACTCACAAAAAATAATATTAATGTTGAGGAACTTGCCCAACTGGCTGCTAAAATATACATAAAACTACAATAATGGAAATAGAGTAGGGCTTCTCTAGAACAGAAAGACAATTCAATGGAAATAAATAGCACTAAATAATCACTAATATGTTTAAAAACTGAATGTTAGGTTTTATAAATGCTGTGATAAAATTAGCTCTTTATACCATGCTATGGAAAAAAATCCTAAATAGACTAAACAGTTAAATATCCCAAAAAGTTAGAGGAAAAAATTACATGTACATGTACATATACACATGTACATGTACATATAAGCAGTCTGATCTTGAGATATGAAATAATTTCTTCAGAATAACAGTAAAACACAAAATAAGATATTCAAGATCTGAAACTTCTTAAAAACAAAATACACTATAAAATTGAAAGCAAGCAATAGATTAGAAGAAAATATTTGCAGTCTTTAAAACTGGCAATTGATTGATACTAACAATAAATAAAGAACAATGTGTCAGTTTCAAAACACTTGTGAAAAAGGGATATGCATAGAGGCAGTGTACAAATAGGCAAGTCTTAGCAGAACAGGTTAGCTACTGAAATGACACTGAATCTTATTCATTAGAGAAATGCAGGTTTAAACAATAAAGGGGTCT